ATTCTTATGCTAGAAATAGCTGCCCCCAAGAATGTGCTTATTTAGTGCACAGAATTCTGCCAGTCTTTTGCCTTTTTCATTTCTCTCTCCTATACCATGTTGCCCCATAATTTCTTCATAGCTCTTTTTCTTCCCCAAATCTTCGCAGTTAGATCTACCGGGAAATTTTTTCAGTATGGCTTGTTGCCCATCGTAAAAAGTTTCTTTTCCGCCTTCTTGGCTCCCTATCAATAACATGTCCACGATTATGAGTCGGTTGGTCGACTGATTGGCCAAACCTCAATAAGTCAAAAAGATCAATCATTTTAGCAGTGGAGGGGTTCTGGGGCTTGTCGAAGTGAAAGTTCATATTGCCTACTACAATATAAATGCCTGGAAATGTGTTGCAATGATCTAACAGATTCCGGTTAAAACACAGCATCAGTAAGTTCATTTTTCCTGCTAGGGCAGATGCGATAAATGCACATAAATCAAAGGGAAGCGTTATACGCAGTCGGCTGGGAATATAGCCAAATAAGGTTTATTACCGCTAGTTTAGTATTATGCGTAATTAGCGGCATTATGGGTTGTTTTGAACTACCATATTACTTTTAATGTGTAGTTTAACGTAAAATTTAATTAATTTTAAGTAATATTGAATTATTAGTGCTATTATTAGTATTATGGCTTGTATATTATATATTATAAGTCAAAGTCTATATTTCATAGATAAAAAAAAACAAGATTTATTTTACGTTGTGACAACCATTAGGAATTAGGGCATGTGATCTGTTTATATGATCAAAGCCTAAGGAAGGGAAAGTGGGCTACATGACTACATGCCAGTGCTAGCATGAAGAATAAGTATATAATTAGTCTATAGGCATAGTAACATTTAAATAACTAGCCTATCTACATCAGATGTGATCATTAATTATAATTAGTTTCTATTTGGATTCAATTGAGTGACTCTTGAAATCATTGACGTATTCCCAAACCAATATATACTGGTGTGTAACATATCTTATGTTAACTAAGTGGTAAAAGTATATATGGATAGCCCAAACAGAGAATTATTTGTGCAAGTGTGTGACCTCTGGTGACAGTTCAAATGTTGCTATTGCTATCCTCTCTGATACTACATTGCAATTGCAGTATTAATTTTTGTGTTATTCTACTACTATTTGTTCAATGAAGGCTTCTTGCCAACATCATTGATTGCTGTGGCCTTTTCTTCTGGTTTTGCTCTTACTTCGTTTCCTTTTTACCTAACCTGATTTTAGATTTTTGTTAACTTAAGTTAAACTTAAAGTATTAAGTATAAGTATATGTAGTTCAAACAGAATATTTATGTGTGCATTTTTGTCTGTGTTCTTAGCTGTGGGAGGCTTATTTATTATAATAAGTCACAAGTTTCTGCAGTGAATATAACATAACCAAAATAGATCAAAATCAATATATATAACAAATTTAATTAGTTAATGTTTATTTACATTTTAAAAAGTACATGCATGAAAGTATGTGATCCGTATATAATAAGGACAATTAGAAACGAAGTCAACGCATAATTCCATGAAAAAAAAAAGCATTAATGGGTGAAATAACAAAACTTAATAATATTAATATTAACAATGTAAAAAAAGGCAAAACATTGAAACAAAAATTAACATACACCCATATCTCATATACATCATATGAAAGTTTAAACCAGCAGAATATACAGATTACAATGAGACTATAAAGCGTCAATAAACAACAGAGAACACATTAAAGCAGGCATGCAAAACTAAAATTTTGTAATTTAATAACACTTCCATGCATATTCATTTATACTATTGCAATACACAGAAAGTAATATAAACATTTTTGAAACATTTATATATGAAGACCTCAAGGGAAAAAACGGCAGTCCATTTTTAATTTTTTTTGAGTTATCACCCCTGACTTATAGCCAGTTAAAAATAGATGGTGCTGAATTAAGTTTAAATGAGAAAATTGGCTAAGTCCATAAGAAAAATGGAAACGAAAAATCCGTTTACAATGGAAAAAGGAGCAGAGTCCAATGTTTACAATGGAAAAGGGGGCTAAGTCACTAATATCACGTGACATTTGAAGTCACGTGATTTAAAGGTCCAATGAGAGATAGCTATAGTGTAAACAAAATTTAAAGATGGGGACCGATTCGCTCAGCTGACCGACAAACCGACGAAAAAGTTAACTGACAGACCTGGATTTTTTAAATTTCCTACCACAAGAAAACAAAACAAATTAACATAAGCACGATAAATTGAAATTAAAACATTAAAATAAAATAAAATTTGAAGTTTTAAATCGTATTTTCCCCTTGTTTTGTTATGTTCTGTTAATTAATGTGTGTATCCGTCTCGTCTCTTTTGCTGTCGCTCTAGCGCTCTAGTCAAGTCTAGTCTATCACTGTTTGTTGCATGTCTGTGTCTCTCCCTGTCAGTCCAGCTCAGTTAGTTTGTATATCCCTAGCCCTGTCGCTCTAACTCTGTGTCTGACTCCCCCTGAACTCTTTATCTTCGAGTGTCTGTCTTGCTATCTCGGTCTGTTACTCTTTACTGACTTTACTCTTAAACTTAAGTTCATACATTTACAGCTACTGCTAATGAAAAAAAATATATTGGGCCAAAATTGTAAGAAGCACATCAGACACTCAGAAAGTATGATTTTAAATCTGATTTTCAGGTTAAATTCTAAATAATATATTTTTTTAATGATAGTTATAGGCATGATCCATATTCTTATATTAATAATTTAAACAAAAATAATTTGCCTAAGGCAGGGGTCATTCGTAAAATTACATCACGTTAAAAATGACCTTTTTAGACACCCCCTCGCCTTGTCACGAAATGTCATAAATTCTCCCCCCCCCCCTAATTTGCCTAAGGCAGGGGACATTCGTAAAAATACATCACATTAAAAATGACCTTTTTAGACACCCCCCCCCCTTGTCACGAAATGTCATAAATTCCCCCCCCCCCCTTTGTCACATCACCTAAAATAATTCAAAACATACATAAAATCATAACTAAACTAAGATATTATTTTATTCTTCAACATTTTCCCATAATGCAGCAGTTCTAAACCTGTGGGTGGCAACCCCTTTATGGTTGAATGACTTTTTTAAAGGTGTCACATAAGACAATCGGCAAATGCATATCCTCTACAGTTATGAAGCACTAACGAAAACAATTTTATGGTTGAGGGTCACCACAATATGAGGTACTGCATTCAAGGGTCGCGGCATTAGAAAGGTTGAAAACCACTGCCATAATGATAAGATGTAGTATTACTAGAAAACCGAGTTTCATGGTACCATACTATAATACCTGAGGCAAAGTTTACCTCAAATTAATGTTTTAAAAATTAATTAAATTATGATTTTTTAAAAAGAATTATAAACTTTTAGAGATGAAAAAAAAGTGACCGCCCCCCCCCCCCCTCCCCCCCCCCCCCAAAATCCCCCCATTTCTCCACCCCCCCCCCC